AAAAAAAAAAAAATGTATCTTCTTCGGAAAATGTATGTAATATTTTTAAACTTAATTCGAGGTAATTTTTGATTGAGTATCTTCAAACTTTTAAAATACATATACTAAATAAATATGGTTGGGCTGGAATGCCATAAAAGTAGCGCCGAGCGCCAAGGGTGTAAAAATCAGGGTCATAACAGTTATAAGTTTTATAGCAAAAACGTTGCTCCATAACAGTTATTAGATGAGAAATATTTTTTATTTCGTCGATAAGAGTTACAACCCAACGTTTATTTTTAGTAGAAGACCGTATGACTTAAAAAATAAAAGTCGGTGATTGATTTATATTGCTGACTTTTAAAAGTAAAAATCACTGGCTGATTTTTATTGATGACTTTTATAAATAAAAACTGTTATGTTCGGTTCTCGACTGTTTCGTTGAACGTTTCGCGGCCTTCTAAGGACAATTTCAGGACCCTTTCAGTCCCAGTTCTAGACCACTCGAGACTCTTCAACACTATTTCGACTAGTTGTCGTTCATTTTTTCGACTAGTTAAGGCCCAAAGAGGACTATTTCAGCACCATTTCAGGTTAGTTCACGACAATTTCAAGAATATTTCGGGGCTAGTTTGAGAACATTTAAAGTCAAGTTCAGGAACATTTCGGGACTAGTATAATTTTTTTGAAGGTTTCGGGCCTGTTCAGGACCATCTAAGGACCATTTGGGAGCTACTTCAGGACCATTTTACCACTAGTTCTAGACTAGCTCAGGACTATTTTGACTAGTTCGGGTTAGTTTTGCGACTAGTTAAGACCCATTTCTGAACTGATTCAGGACTATTTCAGCACCATTTAAGGCTAGTTAGCGACTATTTCAGGAACATTTCGGGTCCAGCTCAGGAGTATTTTGGGGCTAATTTGGGAATATTTTGGAACCGTTTCAAAACTTGTTCGAGATCTCTTCGGGACAAGTTAAAGACCTTTTCAGAGCCATTTAAGGACTACTTCAGTACAATATTTAGTCCTGAACTATTCTTGAAGTGAAGTTATGAAAAAGTCATGTACTGATCCTGACAAAATGAAATGAAATTAATGTTTAATTTCTAACCTAATCTATATATGTATATAACTGAATCACCTTATGCTGAAACAGATGTTTAGTTTGTACTCACGCCATTTTTTATTACCTTTTAAGCGCAACGTCTTTTCTGGTTCAGATCCATCATCGTGCAGCAAAAGTTCAGTGGAGGGCTGAAGTGCAACGCGGTCGGTCACAGGCTCCACTGTGACTAATTCGAAAATATTATTCGTTCTGTTTAAAATCTAATTGAATGTGCAAAAATAGAAAATTACGTAAAATCTCACTAACCTAATTATTAAAACCTACATACACCTACGCATGGCAGTTGAATGCAACCTTTCGACAAAAAATCTCAACTCACCAGCGTTTCTCGGCAATAACAAAGCCACCGAAGTTAATTCAAACCGCATTCAGCTGCCACACACCGTTAGTAATTTAAAAATTACTCATTAGCATGACCTCTACTTACGGTTTGGAATTTGAAGGCAATTAATGGACGCACCAGATCGAACCAGGCGGTAATCTTCTGGCCAAGTAGGTCGGGCAGAATGACCATCAGGGAATTACCAATGCTACGTACCACCATATCGGCACTGCATAGCGGCGATAAATTTGCAGCAGCAGCAGCAGCAACAGCACCAGCAACCAATAAGATGACGCAATAAAAAGAAGAACAAAAAAAAAACAGCCACAAAATTAGCGCTGAAATGCATTGCAGGCGCTGCGAAGTAACAAGTTGTGTGGCCAGGCAACAGCTGCAGCCAATGCGAATGCGCCAGTTAAGTTGCCACCGCTGCAATGCACTGCTGCGCCACATAATTAAAATCAACCACAAGCGCTGTTGCCACATACACATGTAAATACATATACATATGTACGTATGTATACTCAAATGACAGGCATTGGGTATTTAGGTACAACACGCCAGCACGCAACCCATCCGCCAGCACCGCTCACCGTGGCGTATACTTACCCAAATACGATGCAAAATGGAAATATTTCAAAGAGTACATGTGCACTGATGGGCAAGTGTTTCTCTTCGCGCGTCATCGCCAACGAAGCCAGTGTGAATGCACGATTATCGAATGTCAGCTGAAATGTCACATGCACCGTATCGAAGAGAATCTCCTCGCGCACCAATTCGATGTGCATTTCCTTGTGGTAGAAATGTCGCGCCACTTCACGTATTTGGCCCATTGTGTAGTAGACAAAACCGCGCCGCTTCGAACGATAGTGTAATGTGAGTCCTTGTCGTGTCTCATTTTCACAAATGAATGATGGCGCACGCATGCGGGGGTAGGAGAATTTCAAGTATTCATGCAGGTTATCGAGTCCATTGAGAAAGTCGCGCATATGTCGACCAAGTACGGAGAGAACGCGATCGTAACCATATTGGCCAACAAAGCCAACAAAATAAACACCCATTTGGTCCATGAATTCACGTTCGGAAACACCGAGTACCTGAAAGGAAATAAGTAAGGATATTGAAGAAATGTGAATATTTATTTGAAGTAGGAAATTTTTACAGCAGCATTTGCGGTGACAGAGAGACACCGTCGGCGAGTATTGCCATTCCCTGCGGTGTACAAGTTTATCGTCACAATCCGCATCATAGCGGGATTCTTCAACATATTGTTCATTTGTTCCTACACTCCGACGAAAGATAAGGACGATACGTCCAGATATCTCTATTTTGCTGCCACCGTCAAGAAATGAAAATCGTGCTCTGCAATTTTTATGCCAGGGTGATTAAATAGGGAATCATTTAGCCTTCATCATCAATACGAGAATCTAAATTGATTATGTAGTGCTTGAAGAAAGCATATTCGCAACTCGATTCTCACACCTCTGCTCTGTGGGAATACTCTTCGAGAACCCAACATATGTACATATGTGAGAATCAAGGATGTCCCAGGACTAAAAGCTCAGCTAGTCGACGACGTAGCGTAATCGTAGGTTGACGTCCGTATCAGCATATCAAATTTACTGTTGATAGAGAGAGAGAGAGAGAAGCAACGGCAACGTCACCGCCATAGGGTGGTGAGTTTCCGTTAACACGCGAATCCCATAAGATAGATCGTGTCTGCGTCAACCGACGTCTACGCTACGTCGTTGACTGTTTGCGCTTTATCACTTTAGCAACATTTATCCAAATGCCATTACAACAATAAAAGACGCAGTGGAATCACATTTCCTGCTCATTACATACCGCCGCAGATTATGCACTAGGAAGAAAAAGGCCACGCCTTTGAAGAACTCAACGCGAGCTATGCGCGATCGACATAGGAAGCTGAAGAGGGAAGCGAGACGTATTTTCCGAAATAAAAAAGGGAGTGGTGAAAAGCTGGAAATGTTGCCCAATAAAGAATGGTCGCAAATATTATGAGAAAATTCGGGGTCCCACCAGAAAGTTAGGTGACACCCTCAAGACAGTTTCAGCGGGGAAAGAGGGAGTGGGAGCATTTTTGAATAAATAAGCACTAATTTTGAATAGATAGGCTTCGTGTCAGGGAGAAAACCAAGGTATGTATGTGCTACTGCAAGTTATTTCTAGCCAGAAAAGTCGGTAATTCAAGCAACCATGGATCGGTTTCGCACTACGTTTGCTCTAGTGGATAATGCGCTATTGCTACTGTGGAGCAGAGTATTGAAGAAGACCCGAATTAGTCCATCCGCCATCGCGCGCAACAATTGGAGCTGTGCCCATCCACTTTATGGAAGATTTTGTGGAAGGATCTTTGTTTGCGGGCTTACAAAATTCAACTCGTGCAAGAATTGAAGCCGAACGACTATCAAGGGCGTCGCACGTTCGGTGAATGGGCCCAAAACGAGATGGCCACCGATCCAAGTTTTCACAAGAAAATTTAGTTCAGCGATGAAGCTCACTTTTGGTTGAATGGGTACGTTAATAAACAAAATCGTCGCATTTGGAGTAATGATAATCCACAAGTCATTATTGAGATGCCGTTACAACCTCGAAAAGTCAAGCAAATAGCTTTGTTTCATCTTTTGCCTAGCAGTAATTAGCGGAAGAAGCAGAATGGGTAAATTTGGGGATTTATATGTTCGCTTTTGTACTTTTATATATTTTTATTTGTCACTCAGCTGATGCGAATGCCGTTTCGGTTATGTTTTACTAGGCGAAATGTTGCGCCGTATACCATCAGACGGAATCGCTCCATCCGACCAAATTTGCTCAGAGATTTGGTTCTGTTTATACTTTAATGAATGTGTCTGGCGACCATGGAAATGGATTCCTTGACAATAGAAAAACGTCTATCTTCCATCTTGAAAGCTTTGAAACAAGGCCGCTAAAAATTTGTATATTAAAGTGAATTGAAGTGTATTGTGCATACATATAAAATATTTATGTGTACATTGAAGTTTTTTTGTAAGGAAAATGAAATTGAAAAGTATAACGTAATTTTTATTGTATGATTAGTTAATGAAATTTTTTAACAATGCGAGTATTTATATATATGGACATTAATAGAGTGCATTAAGAAATGATAGCGAACTGGCGGCTGAAAAGATCCAAAATTCGGTGGGTGGAATCTTTGGACATATTTACATTGTATTGCAAGTTAAAACGTTACATTGTCATTCGTATCCTTGGGATCCTCCTCGCTTAAAAAAGTCCCACTTTGAAGCGTTAATAAATGATAGCACCATTAAAGCAATATGCAATAAAATTTGAGGGGGACACCTTAAACTTAGTGTGGACAGGAGATTGGAGTTTCTCCATTCTTAATTTATAGTTAAAATTTTTTTTTGTGGTCAGCCTGCGCGAAGTTTGCCGGACATTTGTTGACATTTTCTCTCGAAGTCTTTTTTC